GTCAATCCCACTCTTCTTGAGACTTCTGTCGTAAATAAGGAAAACTGTATGTACGTTCACAGTCTGTGTCTGTGGAGCGGTGACAAATTAAAGGAAAAACCTTGAATGGGTGACCTGTGCAGTGAGAGGGTTTTTTGCTGGCAGGGCGTCCTGAGTGATGGCCTCTGTCCTCACTGATGAAGTATTTCCACCCTGATGGAGCGGTCCCCCTCCACAGGACGCGAGGGCTCACTGACTGGTGTGATGAAGATGATGTGGATCATATGCTTGGGCCTTCGCAGACCTCGGGCCACCCACAGCGACTCTGAGCAAGGCGTTTGTCAGAAATCCAGCCGCTGAATAATTAAAGGTGTTACAGGCTGCTGTGTCATATCTGCATGATGTGGCAGACTCTTCAGCTGCACAGACAAAGAGAGGAGGGGGCGGTCGGGAAACTGAGCAGAGTCACTTTATTTAGCTTTATGTGGACAATGATGACTGTTGTTGTTTTAAATTACGGCGCTGAGATGAGATACAAAGACCAAAAAACGTTTATTTCTGCTGTAAAGTTGGACAATTTAACTCTGAGGGTCTGACTCACTGCCTCAAGTGGAGATCACAGGAACTGCAGTTTGGAGGTTAATACACATATTGGGAAAATCTGTGCTAGATAAAAATGACTGTCAGCTGCCAGCAGATTTATCTTTGGTATAAATTTATTTAGGTTATTTTCAGAAGAACTGGGATTGTTAGTAACTTCATCATCTCTGCGGTGTAGGACCAGCGGCTCAGGCTGGTGCTGTAAAGTTGTGGAGATATTTTCTTGGCCTTCTTAGAAGCAGCTGAGCATCATTTAAAAGCTGACCATCTCCATCTCTTTATGACCACAATGCGCTCATCTCATTGTGGACATGCTCCTGATCCAGGCCTGTGCTTCACCGACAGGGTGGGGTTGGGTGTTCTCGGCCAACAGCTTCAGTCGGCGGCACTGATGTTGAGCGTTCACTGATGTCTGTGAACACCGGCTTCAGAGTGCCACGCCCACCTTTAATAAACCAATCAGCTGTAACTAAAAGCTGCCGTTTGACTTTCTAAGAGATAAAAATAAGACTGAGAAATGGACAGACACTTTAAACGTGTCTCACAGAATAAATTTTCTGTTTCTACTTTGATGTCTCACTTCATTTTGCTGCTGATAAAGTTTCCACGAACTCTGTGACCCAGTTTGGTTCGGGGATGGGATGAGCGGGCTCCCACCAGCAGACAATCATCCTTTTAAGCGCTGCTGTATCCGTGAGGGATATGCTGTAGACTTTTCATTAGCACATAAATTAAATGTCACTAAGTAATAAAACCGACTGACGCGCCTCCTTCCACGAGAGGTGATGGTGCTCTGGTGTGTGTTAACCTCCGTGATGCGAACACGTGAGGCCGCCGTGTGATTCAGTGCTCGCTCAGTTGAGGTCGTCGTGAATCAAACCGCCGTGAAAAACGACTTTGTCTGTCAGCTCCGAGCTTCAGTCACGGTCCAGGAGATTCACGACTCAGCATAAATGATAAATACAACAAATCACCACGTGGCTTCTGAGTGTGGAGGACACATATAGAGGTATAACGCAGCTCCTCCACCCAGAGGAGTCCATCAGACGAAGGCTCCACCTGGAGCTGCTCCTGAGATTATTTTGGATCCATCAAAGCAGCTCACTCTCTGCCTTAAAGAAGCTCAGTTAGCTCCTCCTCCTTCAAGGAAGCTGTCTTCTGATTGGCTGCCCCCCACAAACAGAAGGTAAGAACAGCACAGAGCTTAGAGAGTTTGTCTCAATACAAAATGTAACCTCAATAATTGAAATTTGGACCATGTTTGATGTGAGCATCCACCACTGGAACAGCACACGTATGACTGGAAATAAAGAAAAGTGGAGAACATTTCCCGTGAGGAGAGTTTCATAAGATTCCTTCTTTGACGTTCACGGGATAATAAAGAGCTTCCCACAGGCTGCAGAGCGAGCATCACCGCTCGGCATCAGCCCTTCGCTGCAGCGCAGAGATGGCGAGAGGGAGGAAACCAGTAAATTATTCATCCCAGAGAGGAAAGAAGGCGAAGAGGGAGGGAACCCAAAGAAGGAAAGGCCAATGTCTTCTCAGACCAGTGCCACATAAAACCAAACATTTTCCTGCCCAGCAGGGATCCAGTCTCCTCGCTGGGTCCCTGGGCTCTGCGTGCAGCCGCACGGCGAGGACGTAACCCCGCAGAGTGACTGGATGGAGTAATTAAGCTGAGATGCAACCACCTCCAGGGTGTTCCTCCACTGTGGTCCTCTCACGCTTCAAGGTTTGATGTGTTGCATGTTCAGAGATGCTCTTCAGCATGGATGTAACATCTAAATATTTGAGTTAGAGTTTCATCTCAGTGAGACTTTACCTGGATAAATAAAGGATACCAACAGGCTTGGGGTGATTGCTGCTCACTGGGTGTATCCCCCTTCTTTCGGGGGGCTGTTCTGTTTAAACCTTAGAGATGGTTGTGGGAACCTCCCAGTGAGAGCTTCAGCAGGTCGTCTTGACCATGCCCTTATACCCAAACGCACAGCCATGTGACCGGCTGAGTATATATTTGTGTTAGCGAGCAGTTGGACACATATACCAAAAAAGTGGAGAGTGTATATGTGGTATAAACACACCTGACATCTGCCATATAAGGTGGATCTGTGGCACGCCGAGTCAAGCTGCAGGTGTGAGCCACATTTGTGCCAGAATATCTGAGTTTTCTGGCTGTAAACTCTTCTCACTGTATTGTATTTGTTATTTACGGCCTGTGAAAGGAGAAACATGATAACATCACCAACGAAGCACTGAGTGGACTCGGCAGCAGAGAGTTCAGAGAGGCTGAAATGCTTAAACCTGACATGTAGCACTTATAAAATACAGCAAAAAGAAGAAAACCTGAGGAGACGAATAAAAATAACTGGAGGCTTTTCTTCCCGCTCAGAGACAAGTGTGATCGGAAGTCTGATGGCTCGGACTGAAAGGAAACGGCGAGCGTTACGAGTCAGTACCGTCTGACCCGGGTCAAAGCGATGAGGCGGTGCTGCTTTCACAAAATGAGTGGGACCGTCCGCTGTCATGGCAACAGACAAAAATCGATGGAGCTCGGACAGATAAGAAACGGGTTCTTGTGTCTCTGAATTTAATCAGACGGCAAGAAAATCTGGTTCATTCTGGTTCTGATCTGATTGAGTGTTTAAACAGGAGGGAGGTTCACGCAGGCAAAGGAGGTGAAAGCTAAAAACAACTCTCTTCTTAAACAGATTCACTCCACAGGTAGACTGACTATAATCTGCAGCTCTGACATCTGCAGTGCTAAAAGCCATCTGCTCAGTAAAAAAACAATTACTTCTGTCACAAACAATCCAGCGCTGCACGAGCTCATAATTCAGATTGTACGACTAAAAAACAACAAACAGGCCCACAGCCTGCCCCGCTTCATGCGCCGAACAACGTGAACCAATGTGACCGACTCAGTGGTGTAACTTAGTACATTTACTTTATTATAACAGTACAGCTTTAATGTACTTTAATTATTGAGGTTATTAAGAGGAAGAATTATTAAGAAGAAGAGCTCAGTGCATCATGGGAAGTCCTCCAGCAGCCTGAGCCTGTAGCAGCATAACCACAGAGATGCTTCAGGGTCACCTGATCCAGCCCGAACTAGCAAAAAGGAAAGTTTGAAGCCTAATCTTAAAAGTAGAGATAGTGTCTGTCTCCTGAATCCAAACTGGAAGCTGGTTCCACAGAAGAGGGGCCTGAAAACTGAAGGCTCTGCCTCCCATTCTACTTTTAAATACAACAAGTAAACCTGCAGTGTGAGAGCGAAGAGCTCTGATGGGGTCATATGGTGCTACGAGGTCTTTAGGATAAGATGGGGCCTGATTATTTGGCATTTTGTCTTTCCAGCATTTTTACAGTAGTCTATCAGGCTATTGATCTATCTCCATCTATTTCTCACTTTGATGACAACAACCTCATGAAAATCCTTAACCTGCACTCTTTCTAATGGCCAGCAGGGGGCGACTCTTCTGGCTGGAAAATGAAGGGCAAGCATTAAAAATAAAATGACCTGATTTCTCCCGTGATTTATGACCTCTGTGAACTCTCTCCACATGAGTTTATGATGCCATTCGTTAGTTTCAGATTTCATTTAAATCATTTCCAGGTTCATTTACAAATTCTGCTCCAAATGAGAGTAAAATAGACAAAAAGACTGTGATTTCTGGCGTGTCTAGAGTGTTATTGACAAGCTGTTAGTGAACGAGTGTGCAGTGTCCTCTCTCACTGCAGGGAAGTCAAAGCGGACAGGAACACCTTTACCTGCAGTGATGACGGATAACAGCCTGAACACGCTCACCTGGTTTAGGCTCAGGCAGCAGCAGCAATGATACAGACAGAGGAACAGAGTAAGGAAAGAAGCTGACCGCTGCCTCAGACCTCCATCATGGAGGAAGCATCCACCAATCGAACACCAGTTAACCACAACACACCTGAGTCAGGAGAGGCAGAAACACTGAAACGCTTCAGCCGTGATAACGACGAGGAGCTAAACGAGCTGTTAAATGGGACTAATGGAGCATTTGCCACTGACGCACGAAACTCTCGCAGCAACCTGAACCTCGAGGGCGTATTTCAGAGGCCGGCGGTGGTGTTGGTTTGTTTCATCACACAGGAAAAAAACAGTGAGCACAAACAGAAAACGTCTTATCTGCACAGCCACACGACAGAGAGGGAAGCTCATTTATCAATAATTAATGAAGCGAAGCAGACGCGAGTGCAGCACAGACCGCAGATCTGGGTCGAAGGAAAATAATGTGGAAACTTTCCAAGCTGTCGTGTTTCAATGTTTAAACAGCGGCGTGAAACATTTCATTGCAGGATGATGATTGGCTGGAAGGAAACCCAGTAAACATATTCATGTTTTCACTTCAGGAAGAAACGATGATATAAAAATGTTAAAGTGTTCTGTGAACTGGCTGTTTAGTTACTTGTTTTAATAAGAAATCCATTATATCGTTACCTAAACATAAAAACCTTTCAGTTTGAACTGAAATAAAAGCAAAACCTATGATTAAGTGTGGTGACTGTGGTCCAGGAGGCTCATTAAAGGCGCCTGCTCGCTGCAGTTTACATGTGTTTGAACAACAATAAGTCCTTATATTAAAAACTCAAATCGAAGATGGCATCACAGAGGCTTTTCCTCCTGCAGCCGCACCACAAACATCCAAATCTCCCAGATGGCTCGAGCCACGGGGTCCAAATATAGAAGGCTGGATGATAAAAGACGAGCGAGGCTGTCGGGAGGAAAAATGGTCCAACGCCAAAATGAGTTCTCAAGGCGCTGCGGCTGTAACGGCGCTCAGAGCCAGGAGGAGGAGGAGTCGTTACCTCCGAGCTTTTTGGGGTGACAACTCAGAGGAAAGCAGAGACCCAGGAGACTTCAAGGAGAGATGAACAAGCTTCAGAATATGCTTGGACCGGCGTCCTCCGGGCACAAAGCAGAGGCTCTCTGATCAAAGCCGGGCGCAGAGAGTGAGCGAGCTTCTGAGTTTTGAGGAGGAGCATCACAAAAAAAGAGAAAACACAGCAGGGCAACGCACAACGGCAGCCAAGACGGCAACCAGGCCACAGGCAGAACTCAGACGATTGATTTTCAGGCTGAAATCTACACGAGGGTTTGAGGGAGACCAGCAGCAGCGTCTCTCTGTTCATCCCTCCTAACAGGGCTGGCTTTTAACAAATGCATCATTTCAAAGGAGACACAGAATTAGACAACGATGTTTATAGTGAGGAAGTGTGATGTTGCGTTGCTTCAGTAAAGCTGTGCCAGCGTTTCAGCTCTCGGCCTCGCCCTGCTGCAGTAACGAGCAGAGAGTCTTCCCCCGATCGGCCATGTCGTCTTTACAGCTGCTTTAAAAAGGGCAGAAAATGTGTTTGAGTGGAAGCTGCCTCTTCACAGCTTTAATTACATTTACTTTTTGTGTACCAACAATAAAACTGTCCAGTTGAATTCATGTCCAGGTGTCTCATTAATATGTGTTTAAGGCTGGTGGTAAGGACATTTATTAAATGCTGAGACATCAGGTTTGCAGACTGAACCATACACATCAGGAAATCTGCAGTGGTTCATTTGCACACATCTGCAGGTAAGAGGAAATCTAAAGGTCCGTTTAAAGGAAATATACCGTCTCTTTGTTCCAATCATACAGTCTGAGTGTTATATAAGCTCATCCTTGTACTCTTATATGAGTGGGGGGACATCAGGGTCGTCCACGAACCCTTCAGAAAAGTGATCCTCGGCGGCTGGTGGATCCGGTCTGGATGTTTCCATTGGCCCTTCTTTGGCGATCTGGCATGGCACGATGTTGGCGAGGTCGACGGCTGTGCGCTTGCTCGGGTCGACTTCGAGCCTCTCGGGAACGTTATTTTTCCTGTCGAGATAAAGGAGAATTATGAAGGTCTTAAATAAGTAAAAGAGCTTCGTGAAAGACACAGGTGTAGAGAAAGAGAGCGCCTTGGCCTCCTCCACTCCTCCTTCATTAATACATTAAATAAACAACAGCCTGCCTCTACAAACATTTATCAAAGGATGGTCAATGAATTTAACTGTGTTGCTCAGCTGTTGAAATGCTCTCTTCACTGCTGGATCAGCTGTGAGAACTGTTATTATAATGAATCCCTGCAGAGCTCCAAACCTCCTCCGGCATTAACATCAGCACAAAGACGGCACACCAGGAGCTTCACGGGATGTTTCTGAGGCCCAGCAGCTCCTGAAGGTGTAATGTGGAGGTGACTCAGACATTTGATCCATGCAGTGTGTGAGTAGAAATGTTCACGCACAGTTACACAAACTGACGTGCCCTGTTTCTCTGTGTCAGGAAACACGTTTTCCTCTCGTACAGAGATAAGGTGGTGACGCTTTAATTAAAAAAACGAAGTAATTAATAAAAAGGGCGAAGCTCAGACTGTAATTATTTAACCCTGATTTTAACAGCTCCCAAAGAACCCCCACAGACTCGCTCTGTGAGCAGTTTGCAGACCACTTCAGGGGAAAAGTCAGCACCATCAGATCTGATATTTTATCTAATCGTGATATGATTGTAAATACATCTGAGGGCTCGATTGTACCTGAGGAGACACTGGACAGCTTTGTCCTGGTTAATGCTGAGAACCTTCAGGAGGTTTTCTCCACAGTGAGACCCACCACATGTCCTTTAGATCCAATCCCTTCTTCACTCTTTAAAACACTTTATGGATTTTTTGAGGCTGAGCTTTTATACATGATGAACTGCTCTCTTCAGTTGGGTGTCTTCCCTGCTGCCTTTAAAACGGCGGTGGTGAGGCCCCTTCTGAAGAAGAGCAATTTGGATTGTAATGATTTTAATAACTACAGACCTGTATCCAACTTACCATTTTTAAGTAAAGTCTTAGAAAAACTTGTTTTTACTCAGATTACTGATTTTCTCAATGATAGACAGATCCTGGAGATATTCCAGTCTGGATTTAGGGTGAACCACAGCACAGAGACGGCTCTCCTAAAGGTTTTAAATGATCTTAGATGTAACTGGGACTCCCAAAAGCTCTCAGTCCTGGTGCTACTGGATCTAAGCGCAGCCTTTGATACAGTAGACCACGCTATTCTTTTAAACAGACTGAAACACATGGTGGGCCTCTCTGGTGCTGTACACAGCTGGTTCACTTCCTATCTCTCTGACAGAACTTTTATGGTGAGTATGGATACATGCTCCTCTAAGATCCATAAAATGACATGTGGTGTGCCTCAAGGGTCGGTTCTAGGCCCTGTACTTTTTAATTTGTATATGCTCCCTCTCGGCAGTGTCATCAGGAGGTATGGAGTGAACTTCCACAGTTACGCTGATGACACGCAGCTGTACATCTCCGTGTCTCCTGATGACACCAGACCAATGGATGCCCTTTTTAACTGTATCTTAGATATAAGATCTTGGATGGCAGAAAACTTTTTACAGCTTAACCAGGACAAAACTGAAGTTTTAATTGTCGGTCCTGAGGCTCAGAGAGAGAAACTCTTGTCTAAATTAGAGGCATTTTCACTATGTCCTTCGCTACAAGTGAAAAACCTGGGTGTTATTTTTGACTCTGAGCTTGGTTTTATCCCACATGTTAAACATGTAACCAAAATTGGATTTTATCATCTAAAAAATATAGCCAGAGTCCGCCCTATTCTCTCTCGGGCCAACACGGAGATGCTGATGCATGCTTTTATTACCAGTCGCATTGATTACTGTAATGCCCTGCTCTCTGGTCTTCCTAAGAAGAATATTTCAACTTTACAACTCTTGCAAAACTCGGCAGCTCGTGTGCTGACGAAGACCAGAGGGCGGGCCCACATTACACCGGTTTTAGAATCGCTGCACTGGCTCCCCGTGTGTTTCAGGATCGATTTTAAAGTTCTTTTATTGGTTTTTAAATGTCTTAATGGTCTTGGGCCTTCTTATCTCTCAGATCTGCTTTTACCATACGAACCCTCGCGGACCCTGAGGTCCTCTGGTACTGGCCTTTTGATTGTCCCTAAAGTCAGGACACATACTCACAGAGAGGCAGCTTTTCAGTGGTATGGTCCTCGTCTGTGGAACAGCCTGCCGGAGGAGCTCAGGGCCGCAGAGAACGTACATGTTTTTAAGAACAGGCTCAAGACCCACCTTTTTAATTTAGCTTTTACTTAGCGTTTATTTATTTTATGCTTATTTATTCTATCCTGTTATTCTATTATTAATTTAGGATTTACCTAATATTTGTTTGATTTTATTCTTATTCATTTTTTAATCTTCTTATTCTATTTATATTTATATTGTATCCTGTTCTTATTTATTTTATCATTTTACCCTATATATATTGTATTGCGTCATATCTCCAGTGTTTCCTCGGAGGGCGCTCTCTGCACCGGGGCTGTTATTGACCGTGGCTGCTGGGTCTCTGGGGTCCTCTCAGCCTGGCTGGGGGGCTCCTTTGCCTCCCTCCTGCTGTGTGCCCAGCCTGGAGGCTGCGGTCTGTGACCGGCTCCCGGTGCAGACGGCTCCCTGTTATAGTGTTTCCTCACTTGGCTCATGCGAGCCCAGCCCAATTTTTACTCTTTAAGTGTGCGCGTGTGTGTATGTGTGTGTGGGTGGGGGGATATATGTGTATTGAGAGTGTGGGGAGTGAGTTGGAGGGTGGGGTGGGCTGCTTTTAACTATGTAAAGCACTTTGTGCTACATTTTCTCTGTATGAAAAGTGCTTTATAAATAAAGATTGATTGATTGATTGATTGACTGTAATAACAGAGCTGCTGGTGGATGAAAAGGATTTACTCAAACATTAGGATTCTCCAGCAATATCCACGGGAGTCTTACAGGAAGTCAGTGTAAGTCTGGAGTCATTATAGTGAATATCGGAAAATCCTGAACATGGTTTTAAGATGCTCAACGTTTGGATTTAGATTTAAATCTTAGTGAAAATGGACGCAGGAAGGAGAGCAAAATGTAGAGTTTATGAAACGTACAAAAAGAAAATGATTTCCTCAAAGAATCAGTTAAACCTTCAAGCTGTTTGAAAGCATCGGCCTGGTTCACCTGAGCAGTCACTGCTGTTCCCACGCTGGTAGTTTTAATCTGCGTGGCAGCTGACCGGCAGGTAAACCCACCAAAAAGCAAGAAAATAAGAACGATAACAGAAAAAACTCCTGACTGTACCAAGAAACGAAGCACCAGCCGCTATCAGGATTAAAGTGAGGGTGATGCGTATGTGCAGTTGGGACAGACCACCATCATCCCTGACGATCGAGCACATAGCAGTTCATCACCTTCACGTGTCTGCTAAAGAAATTGTAAAAGTCCTCCTACCTCCTCCGGTTCTGACCTCTGGGTTCTCTGTGAATAACTTCTCTCTTTCTCAGGATAGTTTTCCTCACTGTGAGGAGAAATTCACAGAAAATATCTGAGTTCTCAGAATCAGCAGCAGCAGCTCCCAGTTCTGAGAAGCTTTATGAGAACAGGAGAATAAATCAGCCATCGTTGGTGCTGATGCTGCGCAGAAACACTCAGGTTCCCAGATTTAATGTAAAACATCAATATGAGTGCTCGCACGGATGTGATCGATGGTGCAAAGTGCACGTGACGCTCAGTTAATAAACCTTTTTTCACCTATTTTATTGGTTCAACTTTACTGGAGTTGGTTACAATCAGTCACCAGTTTACTGTAATATTTGGAATTATGTTCATTGTGTATCAGAAATATTCTGTGGAAACAAACTGACTTCATGTGTTCATTATTTACTGTTGTGTTCAGTGTTGTTACTCAAGCATCCATAAATTCATCTCCGGGGGTCAATTTTCCACATTATCTGTTACCATCAAACCGAAATGATCCAGCTCCTCCTCTGAACTCATCTCCTCCATCTTACAACAATCAAGTCCATTAACCCATCAGATCAGTTTATAGGACGCCGGCTTCACGGTCAGATGTGCTGTGAGCAGCAAACCGTCTCCGGGGGTTTCTCTGATTGTGTTTGTCGAATTAACCGCAATGTAACACGTCACCGTGGGGACACAGACACACAATGACACTCAACAACTGGGTTAATCTGACATACCAGTTGATGCTAAATTGTTCCACTCGTGTGTGCACAAATTGATTTTTTTCTCCCTTTCACAATAAAAGTCCTAGCCATGGCTGCTGTGCTGCTGGAGTGCACAGAGGAATCACCCTGCTTAAATGTGAAGTAGAAGACATTGTGCCTTTTCTCCTCCCATCCTCCTCGATCAGTCACAGCAGATGGCCACCCCTCCCCAACCTGCCACTGGTTTCTTCCTGTTAAAAAGGGGGTTCTTCCTTCCCACTGTTGCCAGGTGTTTGCTCGTAGGGGATTGTCTGATTTTGGGGGTTTTGCTGTATTACTGTTCGGTCCTTACCTTACAACAGAAAGTGCCTCCAGTCAACTGTTGCTGTTATTTGGTGCTATATGGATGAAATAGAATTGAATTGCATTATTTGTGAGACTGTTGCAAAGCAAAAGTCCTTCTTTATGTTGCTGTCTGAAGAATTCTGTTTTTCATAACTAGTTCTGTTCTGTATTTTGTAGCAGACAGACAACCATTCGCTCTCACATTCACGCCTATGGGCAAGTCAGAGTTTCCAGTTAACCGATCCACACTAACTGCATGTCTTTGGACTGTGGGAGGAAGCTGGAGAACCCACGTATACACGGGGAGAACGTTCAAACTCCACACAGAAAGAGCCCGGCCTGATGGTGGAATTGAACTCAGGGCTTTCTGGCTGTGAGGCAGCAGTGCTAACCACCGTGCTATAATACCTACAAATAAATGTTAAACTGAAAGGAGAAAGATTAAAAGACACAATCTCAATGTCTTAAAGAAAAATACCACAAACTGACCCAAATTCTGGTCTCCTCTTG